GTGGTGATCGGAATATCACGTGGGGTGGATCCTGATTTTATCGAGATAAAATCTCCAGGGAGACAGTCCCAAATAAGGAAATTAAGATCATCCACCGTTCCGAACTTGCATATCGTCTCGACCAATCAAATTTGCGAATTTTGATAATAAGCGAATTAAATTTATTAATTCACGGCATTAAATTCGGACATTTAATGTTAAATATATATCACGGTAGTATTAGGGTAATGTTGAGGTAAATATCGCAATAATATTGCGGTAAATTTTAATATTAAATAAAGCCAATCGCAGTAATATCATCAATATATTAATAAAAATAATTAAAAAAATTACTAATCAGGGTAAGTCTTGTAAAAAAATTGGGAAAAAAGGACAAGACAGAAATGTCGCTGAGGATGATTTAGATAATGCTGATACAATAATAGACGATGTAGCAACAATGGAGAATTTATTAGAACAGCGTGACGATAATTTAATCCCAAAGATAATCTAGACATATCATTCACATTTTTTCTAAGCATTGATTATGGTAACCATGCCCGCACGCAAGAACACTATCAATATCCGAATAATCAATGCAATAGCAATACAAGTAATCACATAAAATGGTCGTAAATGGTTGTTTAGGGGTGACAAACTTCTTGGAAGATGACAATCTGTTATTTCATAACCTAAAGAAGGCAACTTATACGAGTTAATTTGTCAGATGAATTTAATAATTGAAGAATTGCTTAATATATCTTCTTAAATATATCTAAAAGTAATATGGCACCTTTTCGAGAAAGCTGTGCAATTACTTGGATATATATGGATATTTGATGGAATTCACGAAATATTGTAGTCTCCTCGATGCTGGAAAATAAAAATTGCCTTCTTCTGCAATTGTTCTGCCTCGGAAAACTTGGTTGTACGTCATCGAATAATACTGTGAACAATTTCTACAGGACAATCCCTTAAAGATGCGAGATGATTAGTAACTAAATCGATCATTGGATGATTAAACTCCGTCCAATAGGAAAGATCAGAAAAAAACATTAAAGGTACACGTTTATAATTTCTTCAATCAAATCGAAGAAAGAGATCGCTCCAGCAACGCATACAAGTTTCTTCATAAGCAGGCCAGCTACCTTCACGATGATACACTACATAAACATCGAGAACTAAAGTCAAAAGATCGATTAAATACAAAAATTCAACATTATTACAAGTATGATAAACTTTGAACAAACAATATCAACTATATCAAGCCACGTCATGTGCGAAAGTTAAATCGATCCATTTATCAAGATTCTTATTTTGTCTAAATATACTTTTGTAAATTTATTAAATAAAATGAATTTTTTTTAAAAAAAACAAGTTCACAACTATTTAAAGAAACGTGAAGAGGTCCTATTATAGGTAGAAATGACATAACAAACGGAGGAATCATTTCATTATTGAGAAGAAGCCGATATGCATAACTTTTGGATTTAATGCCCCATTACGTGATATAGCTAATATGAGACATGGATTTGTTACAATTATTGTCATGTGCACTGCCCAAGATGTATCAGTTGTATCAGGTTGCTGCCATAGAACATGAATTATTGTGATAATCATCAATATTCAGCATGAAAGAATTTTCCAAATAATTCTTAAGAGCCTTCGCTACATATTCCCCATGAGTCTCTGAAATTTTTTTCTTTTTACAGTCTACTGCGCTTGTAATATAGTTATATCAAGATTAACCAATGTATTTAGATCTTTATTATTTGTACCTACTGAATCTAAATAGCATGCTAAGTCAAACTTAAAGGAATTAATTTTTGAATTATTTAATGATGCAAAAAGATAACAAATATTATTAATATTTTTATACACTCTATTGTCTATTTACAACATTCAAACAGCTTAGCTAACAAATAAATCAAAAAAATCCTTGAGGCTTGGATCGATTTGTGAAAGTAATTCTCGCATTTTATCAAATGAATATATAAGATCTTCTTTTTACACATATTCTCTTTAGTGAAAATAATTTCAATGAGATTAATCATACTTATCTCTTCCTCATTTACGACTTCTATATTCTCTCTCACTGAAGTTTCTATATCTTCTATAAATTCTATCACTTCTACTTCTTTCACTTCTTTAGTTGAAATTTTTACTTATTTTGTTTTTCTTTTTAATTAATTTTCTATCAAATTTATATAATGTTTATGACATAATTTATCATCTTCTATTCAGGTTTATCTTTATCAAGCCATTAACTTTAACTTCTTTCTATTTATTTTCTTAAAATCTAGTTGACTCTGTAGTTTTATATTCCATACAATGCAGACATAATATTGTTAATGAATTATAATATAAAGATTGATCGATTCAAATGGATTCAAGTATTATTCTTAAAATATAATACAAAAGCTTCCAGTCACATTTCATAGAATGAATATATAATCTAAGCCTTCTAAAAAAGTATTATAAAATATATAAAAAAATTCTTTAACAATTATGTAATTATATCAAAATAATTTTCTAATTTGTGATAGTCTCTCCTGGAGATTTATTAACTAAACTAGGTTAATTTTATCTAAGTTAACAAATTGGTTACAAACATAATGAAATGTGTTCTTTCAAAAGTTACATCTTAAATGAAAACAATTGATTAACTTCCCGTTTTTGATTATATTAGAAGAAAATATTCAATAATTTTTTCTAATTGTTAACATGTTAAATTAAACAAAAACGAGGAAATATCAAATGTCATTGTTAGAAGAACTGTTAACTACTTCATATTTAATTCTTAATTTAGAATCTGAGGATATGACTCTAAAAGTAATCATTCAATATATTTTAACCACGTTTTGCTTTTAAAATTTTTATCAATATTAATATATGATAAATTGTTTGTTTAAGCTTTTTGTAAAATTTGCAAATTGAAACCAAAAAATCATATTAAGTAAAACAGTGCGAAATTTTACTGCAGAATTCTTAAATGAATTTCTGCTGAGGATTGCTAGATTTAATCTTTTACCTAGTTTAGTAATGATTAGGACCTCGCATTGAAGGTTACCATTTTTTTTATATACAATACTGTACATATGTAGTTAGATTTTCTTCACAAAGCATTAATGTTAACAAACTTTGTTTTTTAGCCATTTAAATTTTTATATTCGCATTCACAATAGAAAATTTTTAAAAGAACATTATTCAATAGCTTTATTATGTATGACTCATCTAAATGATGCTAAATCTAAAATATATAATCTATAGATACTACTATTCTTGCCTTAAATTAATTATTCAATGGGCAAAAAAACAGCCATCGTTATCACCGTTAGAATTGCCATTATAATTTCCCAAATTGTCAACACCATTATGATTTCCATTCGAGTTTCCACAATTATGATTACCATTAGCATTACCATTAAAACTTCCCCAATTGTAATCACCGTTATCATTTCCATTCCATGACCCGCGATTAGCGTTACCGTTCCGGTTTCCGTTGTACCAACCAGCATTATCGTTGCCGTTTCGGTTTCCGTTGTACCAACCAGTATTATCGTTGCCGTTACTATTTCCATTGAAAGAACCTTCATTGTAGTTTCCATTGGCATTGCCGTTGTAACTCCCTAAATTTCCGTTACCGTTGTTGTTGCCATTGTTGCTGCCTAGATGAATTGGTGTCGTGGAGACGTTCGTGATTCGGAAGAGTGTGATTAATAGTTGGGAAAAAATTAAGAAGACGAGATTTTTTGATACTTGATTCATGTTTAAATTTGAAAATTTTTAAGAGGGTGTTTGGATTTTACTTATTCGATGTTTGTGGAAGTAATGAATTAATTATTTAAATAACAGTGGAGTAAAGTAGTCGTAGAGACCATTTCTTGACCTTCTATTTATCTAGAAATTTTATAATATAATGGCGACGGTAATTTAAGAACAATTATGGCAAATCAAAACAATCATCTATGACTTATATCGTTATATGATTAATTATTTTTTTTATTGCGGCGTTTGTTTCTTTTAATAATGTTTTTTTCTAACAAACAGTATAATCAACGATTCTTATTCGTTTATTTATGATTAGATCTTATTTTGCTTTATTCTTTTCTAGAAACAAGCTTTCACCAGATTAAGGAAATTCATACAAACACAGAGGAACATCTCGCGTCAATTAGTACAGCTGTTTAAATAATTGAATTTTTTTCTCGATTAAATTAATCAATTAGGTTCTTCCAGCAATACGAGTACTTTGCCATGCGTTGCGTTCTGCGATTCTTCGAAGGCTGAAATCTTTGCCAAATCTATAGCGATTATTCTAATTAATCAACTTTATGCAAAGAATTGTCAATCAAATTCCGAGCGAATGTTGTATGAATTCAATAATATGTGGTTTTTGGCGGACTACGTCAATTAGCAATGTTGAGACAAAATTTATTATACGGTGACAAATCTACAAGGAAGTGATTAAAAATGTTTATAGTTCTCGGAAATTCAGCATAATCTGTTTTCTTACCCTAACGGATCTATAAAAAAATTTGCATATAAGATGTCTGTAAAGACCTGTCATCTATAATCATTTCCCAAAAACATGATGACACTGAAGAGGAACTTGAATTAATTGGAACTTAGTCCTATACGAAAAATACGAGATAACCTGATATGTTTGTAAAAAAACTCACTTTTCAGATGTTTTATAGATAAAAAGGCACGGCGAACTTTTAAACCATGTTTACATATGTGCAACAAGTAAGTAACCTTTATGTTTATTTCGATATGTTCTTAGCCAGCCATAGTGGAATTATCTTGGTCCATTCCGGCATACCCAAAATTTTTAGAACAACCAGCGCCACATCACAAGACACATACGCCACCAAATTCGAGGAATTCAACTTTTCTTTCTTTCTCTCATATTTATTACTAGCTTTCATTCTCATCGACATTGATTCTAATATTTTTTGAGTGTGTGAATTGGATGTATCTTAATTGATTAAAAGGATTTATCGAACTATTGAGAAATGATGGATGTCTGCATTTCGGGTATACACAAAATCAGTGATTTAGATTCATATTACGACTATCAATGTGAATTTGAAAGAAGAGTTAATGAAAAGGATGAGGTGAATCTTAAGTTATTGGTGATAGTCGAATAATGGGTCCAAGGAGTGTATAAACAGAATTCACAAAGAACAGAAAATGTGAATCAAGAACCATCCACAATAGTGTTCTTTATTTGGTAATCCTGTATCACAATTGCTTAATTTCAACGTCGCCCAACGTATGTTCTCGTCTTCGCTGGTGACGTCTGTACTGAATTCACATAATCTTTCTAGGCTTATAGAAAGATCAATCAGATTACTGAAAAATCTGAAAATAATAGTAAGCATACAATGATGAAAACCTTCAAGCATTTGCATCTGGACCAGTCAATAGCTTGCGCTGAGGATTGAGGCAAAGAATATGGCTTGCATATGAGCACCTGACGAACGGGCCGTCGTGATTCTGGTCACTCAGAGCATATGTTTGGTAAGTTTCATTTTGCAAATTCCAAAGTTTTTTCTCTATTATTCGCTCCTTACAGACACTCTGGAATCGTAAATGATTTGTCTGATTTTACCACCTTTCCTCAACAATGGTGAACTCTAGAATAGCTCCAATGATGGAGATGAACAATATCGCTTTAATAGAATTTATATAATTTGATAAATTCTATTATTCTAAAGATCTTTATTCGGTAGTTTTTTTTAAAGTTTTATAATTTTGAAATTTCTTATCAAGTTTCAAATTTGTGCACTTTTAATTTTGACAAAATTATGCCTGATATCAAAGAAGCCAGCCAAAATTATCTAACACTATTGGCGATTTGTTTTAGATTGCGACTAGGCTTGGCGCACCAATGCTTAAAAGATTTAATTTACACATGCATGTACGTACATGCATTTAATTTTTGACAATATCGATATCGATATTAATTGAAAATTAAACAACATTAATTATTAAAAATACATATATCACTTTATTTGGGATACAATTCTTATTTGATCTACCTCAAGTTAGTAATATAAAATTCTCCTTTCTTGCATTCAGAGGCGGTAATTTTTTTCATCTTAAGTTTATGAACAAATTTAAAAAGCTTCATTAGACTTCAAGAATAAACTATTGAACGTAAACGATAATTGTTTAGACAAAGTAAGAATAATTTTTATTATTGAACTTAAATATTTGTGCTGACATTAATACAATCATTCAATAATCAAAACAAAGATCCCAAGAAACATCCTTGCAAAAATCTGACGACGCAAATACAAAAATATGGGTTTGTCCAAATCTACAACTTTCGTGCTCTTTCTTATCACAATCCTCGTAGTTTTCGTAGCAGCAGCTCCGTTAGAATACGATCCGGTCAGAGAGCCCAAACTCGATCATAAACGAGACGACTGGGAGCCAGTTCACAAACAAAAATTGGTGTCGTAACCGGGAGCAAGCATATAGCAATAAAAGCAGAACTATTGATATCCGGTTTTTTAAGGTTGAAATATTTGAATGGGGGGGTTTAATTTAAATTCAAGTTATTCTTAAATTTTTTTGTTTTAATGTAGTCTCGTTTACAAGTTATTAATCATTACTATTGTTCTGTATGATTATTATTTACATGGGATTTTACAAATAAACGTTAATTTTATAATATTTATCTCTAATACATTATAAATTTGCAATTTGTATTTTGAAATAATAATCCAGAAAACATTCTTATAATAATAAATAAACTTGTAGGAATATACATGTTTAAGTTCAATCCGCACGGAAAGTAATGGCAGTTAGTTTTTTTAAAATTCAGGTGCAATTTTAAAGACAACTATACAAAAAATTTATCTCTATAACGCGGCATCATACTCTAAAAAAATTAAATCATGACACTTTTTTCTTACATATCAATTCAGATTTGAATGCAATTTGACATGTTAAAAAATCATAAGAATTATTACTGGTTATTTCAATTTTCTTTTCACAATTTTTGTTTTATAAACCAATACATATTGTTTAACACAATTCTTTAGGCTGAACATTTTTTACTAATGGGTAAAGATTCGTTGACTTAGTAGAAATTGATGCTTTTCATGAAACACAATTATCAGAATACTGCCAAGACCGGGATATGCGTTGTACAAAACAGAAATGTTGTCACACCCGTCTTTTTTAAAAGGAGCCAATTATATGGTAAAGATTTTTCCGCCATTAGGACTGTATATATAATACAAGTGCGCATATCGATATGAACAAAAATACATGTACTGTACATGTTAATAATGTACTTTCTAAATTTGAAACTGAAATGAGCGGCAAATTTTTTAAAGTCAAAACGATTATTTCTTTTTATGAATTTCGTATTGTCTCATCGCTTATGTTAATATAACCTCAATTTATAATCGAAAAATTAATTCGATTTCCAATTACATGTATATGTATTCGTTTTAATATGTAGATAAAAATAATACATGTAACACATGTACTGTATTTTAAAGATATAAACAATCTAATTTGGATAAACAAATCCCTGGATGTTATAATAGTTTATTAAATGCGTGTGATTTAGCCAAATCTGGGGATCAAAACAGTGTAGGAAATTCTATGAAGAAAAAACAGAATACATGTACTTGACCAATCGAGATCAACCCTCCTATGATTACATGCTCAATATGCATTCCGCAAATGCAATGCATGTACAGGTATTTTGTAAACATATGCAGTGCATTAACAATGTGTGTATATTACATGTATGATTGAGAACTTTCTTGGCGCGTTACAAAATACACCACGTGACTTTCATTCATAATTTTTCTGAGAAGTCGTTTTGCTGCAAACTATGCGAGATTTTAAATGGTCAAAGTTTTGCACATTTTGATTCATTTCAGGATAAGGTCTGTTATTTCTAAATATATTGTAGGATCTAGTTGTTCGTTCTATGCGATGATGATGTGAAGAAACATTACTCAGTTGTTTTATGTCAGTTTGCAATCAAATTTGTAGAAAACAATCAAAAAATCTTTTTTCGTTATCAATTTTGCAATTCTTCTGCACGATAACTATGAAGGTTGGCTTATTATTTACTTCATATTGGCAAAATTTTATGAGAACGCCAAGTATTGCGTCGTTTCGATAATTGTTGGAGACATTCGAGCACTGAACAAATATTTTCTGTTGCTCTTTCCGCGTGGGTAAAGCGAGAATCTAACAAACTAATCGTTTTCAAGAAGCCAAATTTAGATCCGCGCATTTTTGGAATTGAGATTAATCTATTTTAACAGCGGTAAGGTCGATTTGTCGATCATGAAGTACTGTACCAACGCTTTTAGATTTGTTAATTGCAGTTGAGGAGTTAATTCTTGAAGATATATTTTATTAGAAAAACATTCTAAATACATTATTGAAAATCTCCTTACGTTCAACATAATGTCTTATTGAAAAATCCGGTTGTATTTTTCAATCCAAAGATTGTTTATAAGTCTAAGAACCGGCAATTATCTCTTTGCTTACACAAGATGATTTGAACCTTAAAGAAATGAAATCTGGAAAAAGGTGCTTGAGTGGAGTCAGCTTCTAGTAAAGTCGATTTATCAGTTCCAATGGAATAATGGTCTCAAAACGAATCTAATCAACTCAGTGCTACGCGTAAAAATTGGTTACAATTACTTCGTTCCTAAACTCTGTTTTCTATAAAAAAGTGATGCTATAGCTATGAATAGTTAATACAAGTATAATAAGCATTTAAACAACTCAAACAAATTTTCAAATACTATTGATTAATTACGCTTGTCCTGATTTTAGCTTAGCATAGCTTTAATAATGTAATCTGAAACATCTGTGATGACTGTGAATGGTAATTTAGGCTATATTCATGCAATAAATCTTTTTAAAGATTTATTGCTGAATTCCAAATAGATATAGGTTAGTAAACAGAATATAATTAAATAAATATAATGACTCAATTAAAAAAGTTGATAGAGCTTGATGAAAAAGCAGTTTTATTAGTAAAAAATTGTGTTTTTTGGCTTCAAATTATTTTCTTCAAATTTGCTCTCAATTTCAAGGGATAAATAGCAAAAAACTCTGAAAAATGATAGAAAATTAGGCTTCTGGTTGTATTAATTATAGATTAATAAAATTTCTTCTTATTATAAAATATCAAAATCTTTTTTATAGAAAAGAATTCTTTGCTTTTAAAATAAATCATGAAATAATATTAATAACAAAACATAATATTAAATAACTTATTTACTTAGCTAGTTTCTTTTGTGATATTAGAATATAATATTCTATTACTTATCTCATATCTGAAGTATAGATTAATACTTACTATTAAGTTATTCTGTAAGATTAGAGCTTTATTACTTATTTATTTAATTTTATAATTTTTTATATAAAGCAAAAAAAAGAGTTATTCTTTTATAAAGCTTGAGTTCTTTAATTTTCTTCTCAAATACATTATAAGATTTTTTAAGAAGTTAATTATTATAAAACAAAAAATATTATAATATATAATTATATCTTCCTAAATATATTCTCTCTTCTTGAAATCATAATAAAAAAAATAAAAAGTATGCATTTAGAGAGAATATGTATTTATAAAGATTAAAATATATAAGTTTTTATAAGTTAGAATCAGAATGTATTGTATATTATTACAAACTATACTCTGGAAGGTAGGTTTTACCATGAATATAGTTTATAATAAGTTTTGAGGGCGAAGACTGAATTATTTATAAAGGTTAAGAGGATAACAATTATTCTAAAGGTTTCCTAGTGCCAATACTTACGAGTATTGTATCAACACAAGGCAAAAATGAAATGAAATGAAATAGAATTATAAAACGAAGTTGTGATCACGAGTACTAAACTAAAACTAGGTACCAAAAACTAAATTAACAAATAC